AAATCCTGCATTACCTTAAGGACCCTAAACTAAGGGAATTATGGTATATTCCTCATTATGGGTAATGCAGGATTTATCTCCCTAAACCCTAAAACCCTATAGATCCCTTAAAGGAGCCCCTTAAAGGTACCCTTTATAGATCCCTTTACAGGAACCCCAGGATTTATATCATCAACCGTAAACCCAAAACCCCAAAACCCTATAGATCCCTTAAAGGGAACCCCTATAGATCCCTTTAAAGGAACCCTGGGGATTTATATCATCAACCGTAAGGCCCCTTATTTTCGACCCCGAAGCACCCCAGAGGCAGCCGAGAGGCACATCCGCCCCCAATGCCGCTCAGCTGAGTGGCAACAGCAGCTCGGAGGGCCTCCCCATGGGTGCTTGTTTAGGGTTTAGGGTTTGGGGTTTTGGGGTTCTGGGGAGTGGCTCTAGGGGTACTTTAGGGGTGTGGGGTTTAAGGAGGGGGTTTAGGATTTTAGGGGTTTAGGGTTTGGGGTGTCGAGTTGAGGAGTTTACTAGGAGAGTTCGGGGGTTACGAGTTTAGGGTTTAGGGCGCTGTATTGAAAAGAGAAACAGACGAAAACACCAGGTAGAAAAAGGGCTGTAAGGGGTGTTCGGTCGAACTGAGGGGCTGGGTTTGGGGTATTAGGATTTCAGAAAACCACGTCATAAGGTTATGACATTGATGCAAAGAAACTCTTGTCCAAATGAGCCCAACATCGGAGCTAAGCCTAAAACCCAACTCCAAAGCAGCAAGCAAGCCAAAAACACCGGCACCCATGACGTTTTGTACTCTAGGGTTTATGTATGGTTTGGTGTTTAACGTGTAGGTTGTGGACTTCAGGATTTTTGTTGATGTAGGGGCCTTGTGAATTGGAAAAGGGTTCTGGGCTCTTTCATGCTATGCTTACAAAGAGGAACCCGACAAGGAATGATATTGGTAATGATTTAGGCTTCTACACTATGGGGTTCCGGCTTCGCTTTTCAATTTGAGACCTCCGGTCTTCCAACCCCAAATAAAATTACTTGGAGGTTCATGGGTAGTTATAAGGGTTCCTTTAAGGGTCCCTTTAAAGGGATCTCTATAGGGATTCTATAAGGGTATAGGGTTTAGGGTTCATGGCCAGTCATAAATAGGGTTATAAGTCCCCTAATAGGAGTTATAAGTAAGTTACCCTACATCTAACCCCACTCATAACTACCCATGAACCTCCAAGGAGGATCCCCTTAGGGTTGAGGGCTTAGGCCGAGGCGTTCCCAGGAATGAAAACGGCTCCGTTTTTGGTAGGGCATAGTTTTACCATATACCGTAAGGAACGTAAGGCTACGAAACGGGAAAAGGACCCACAGGGAGACATAGAAACCCTAAACCCGAAGTTTCGATTCACGAGGCTGTGAGCTGTGACCGTCAATAACCTTTCGTCTGGAATCCCAACACGGCACATCGTAGAATTTAAGCCCTGTGTCTCGCTCTCGTGCCACTTGGTGTCCAAAGGATTCCGGGTGCCAGTACGAATAGACTATAGATTTTGGCTTTGAGTATATAGCCCATCAATACGTATTATTTTACATCATCAAACTCATCACGTAATACTATATCATTAAGTAATAACATACTCCAAACCCTAAACCCTAAAAACCCTCATTACATAATGTCCCTCAAGAGAAGCTCCTCAGCGTCGCCCCCGCCAAGCGTTGCAGCACCTCCCCCGGAGGAGCCCAAGAGCCTCAAAAAAGACGCAATGAGTTAGGGTTTAGGGTTTAGGGTTTAGGGTTTAGGGTTTAGGGTTTAGGGTTTAGGGTTTAGGGTTTAGGGTTTAGGGTTTAAGTTAATGTAAAAGCCAGAAAGTTGGAATATGATTATCCTAAACCCTTTATGGTAAATTATAAGGTATCCTACCCTGAAACCATATTCCAACTTTCTGGAGTTCCCTTTAAATGGTAGGAGCTTCCGAAAACTAGGGGGGGGTACCTTATTTGGGGGGGTGCTTATAGTAATCCTTTAAGGGTTCCTTATTTGGGGATCTTTAGGCGTTCTATTAAGGGTTTAGAGTTTAGGGCGTGGGAGTTTCCGAAAACTAGGGGTTACCTTTTCAAGGGATCCATGAGGGTTCCTGTAAAGGGATCCTAGAAGGGTTTCTATAAAGGGTTTAGGGTTTGGAGCTTCCGAAAATTAGGGGTACCTTATTTGGGGGTTCTTATTGTAAGGATCCTACAATTTAGGGTATTATATTCGGGTCCGGAAACCCCCCCAAAGGGGTTCTGACACGATTTTTGTTAAGAGTTTTAGGTTTTGTAGTGGGTATAAAGGTTGCTTACGGGCTTCACACGGCCCACAGGGCTTGCGGCGTTTGGCTTGGCAAGCCTACGCCCTAAAGCCTTAACCCTCGACACTAAAGCCTTAAAACCGAAAAATCCTAAACCCAAAAGCCTATTAACACTAAAAGCCTAAACCCTAAGGCCTAAATCCCAACAGCCAAAATTCCAAAAGCCTAAAGGACCTAAGCCCAAAGCCCTGAAGCCAAGAGCCGGATCCCGGCACAGGGGAATCCGCAGCTCAGAACTTCGAGAACGCATGACCCCTGTGCACACTCGGTGTTAATACGTGGAATACGGCTCCTTTCAAGGCTCGAGTCCGAATCCTTCAAAGGGATGCTATCAGTCATTCCAATAAGGGTTACTATAAGGGTTCTATGGTACAAGGGCTTGGGTAATTGGAACAGGGTTCCCGGCTGGATTATACAACTAGTCTTGCAGCAACCCCAAGGAGCAGTGTTGGTGATTTTTCAAGCCCCTGTGGTATACTCTCGTTCTGCTTCTGCTCTGTTGGATACCGCAGTACCAATGTCGCGACGTTGATGCGCATAGTCTGTGCAGCGTCATTCCTACACCGCACCTCTTGAACTAGATTTAAACCTCAACCGTAGAACCTCCTACAAAAACCTCAACTCCAGATAAACCCTAAAAACTGAACCTTGCAGGACTTTGGGGGATATGTCGAGCCAGGCTGCACAACACGGCGCAAGCTTTCAAGCGAGGCGGCCATGGCTTCCCAGAACCCCCAGAAGGATCTTAAGCGTAGATCCCCTAGTTTGGGATCCTATACTATCGGACACTGGTGGGAACCCCCTTTTTGCGACCTAAAGTATACTTGCTGGATCCTAGCAATTTGGGGTCGGAACAATCGAGAATAGGACATTGGAACCTCTATGGTCTGTGCAGCTCACAAGGGCTGAAGTTTGTAACAATCGTGGAAATTGCATTCTTGCGGCCGGGTGATCATCCAGCGAATGCCAAGGGAGCAGGGTATTTAGGTTGGCTAAGGGGGATTGATGCTTGGAGCACTGAGTGTAGGAAACGGGAGTTGAAGCCGGGGTTCATCATATCAGGCTGTAGAGAGCACCAATCCCTTATTTTGCTGCAGAGCCCACAAGCAGTGAAGCACATGATCTTCGTGGCTGTGCTAAACGAGACTCCGTCATAGCCAGTGTTGCCATACACTGCTACAAGTAACTTTGTTTACATGTATTACTATACCAGTAGTGCTGGCTTCTCTGCATGGAGGCTTGTAAGAAACATGCAGGCCTGGCATCGGACATCAGGCAACAGTATTGCTGAAACGACCATACCTGGCATCCGGCCTTCTTGGAAAAATAACGAATTCACACACTTGCAACCACCACAACTTGGGATAGCAGGATTGGAAGTAATTCAGGCAACTATGATTCGACTACGTATAACCCCAGTTAGGTTACCTATAACCTTACCTGCTAATCTTCCACCGTCAACAGCCCCGAGCTCGGTGCAAGCCAATTGAAAGTACTCAGAGGCCATTGCAAGGATAGGACAGGTAGGATTCATAGCAAGATTAGCGTAATATAGGGGCCTGAACCCACCAGTTACGGCGCGATACCTCCGGTCAACCATTTCCCAAGTCCTGGTTTGAGGTCCAGCGCAAGTCAGAGTCGCATCATGCTCCAACCCTAAACCCTAAACCCTAAACCCAAAACACTCCAAGACTCTACCGTTCCTCCTGCAATCTCCGAGCCCTGCCTCACGGCTAAACGGCGAAGAGGAAGCGAAGACGAGAACCTAACCACAAGGCAGGCCCGGAGTATGCAACACAGCCATTCGAACTCTCGTGAAGGGACCACCTTGTTCATGCATCCCCTGCTTCTGCGCCGCTGTGTCGCATTCAGTCCATCCGAGCATGAAAGTGTACGCGAGTTTGCTTCATGCATGCCGCGGGCGGGGTGCAATCCTAATAAGAATCATAATACTCGTCATCACAAGAATCAAAATAGTGTTCAAAAAATATTCAAAATAATGCTCGAAATAATCATGGAAATGATAGTCTGGTAGTCGACATAATATTAAAAAACAAGAACAATCGAAAACATAATCGAAATAATATTCGAAATAATAATCGAAAGGGTAATCGACAAATACTAGTAACAACATTGGTTGCAGCTGCAGGCCTCCAGTTGCCGGTGAAGGACGTAGCAGGGAGTTCAAGCAGAGAGACCTGACAAGTGAAACCCACTGAAAGGGCCTATATACCATTTCTTGCTCTTTTTTCTTTTCACTAGGGTTTACCACTTTGGGCTTTGAGGTGTTATAGGGTTTAATGCTAGGGTTTAGGGTTTAATGGTTAAGGCTAAGGGTTGCTAGGCTGCTAGGGTTTAAAGTTATATCATAGGGTTTATGGTTTGAGGGTTGACGGGTTTAAGGGTTTTTTTGGGGGGGGGTCAGGCAACACTGCCTCATAGCATGAAGAGCAAGCAGGAAACGAGCACCTGACCACAAAGGAAGGCCCAACAGGATCCTAGGAAAGGGTCCCGAACTCTCATGGAGGCGCCTTTTTCATGGATCCCTTGCCGCTGTGCTGCTGTTTACAACCATGAACGTGATGACAGGTCACGCGAGATTATGCTTCACCCATCCCTGTCTGGGTGGGGTGCAAAATGAGGATGAAAAAATGTGCTGCTCAGCCTTGCTCAGCGCGCAGCGCCGAAGGTCCAGCCACCCGGGAGAGTCGGGCTGGAAGGCGTGTTGCTGCTGCCGGGCAGCTCGACCACTTGCCATCGCTCCCACGTCCAATCAGCAGGAAAGTCAGCTGGCGACTTTTCTTCACTGGCGTCGCAGCCTCCATGCGGTGCTGCGCGCAGGAACCGGTTGTTTTGAGGGTTGTGCAAGCCAATGAGGCCATTCCCGAGGGGCACCACGGCGAACCTTTGCGAAGTCCACTCGGCTGGGAGCTGATGGGCGTGCGGGCTCGCGTAGCTCTTGCCGTCAAGCCAAACCCCCACGAACCGCGCCCACTTATGGCCTTACTTGTCCAGTCTCCCAAGGGGAAAAACGGGTCACTTGTGGGAACATGTGGAGGTTATAGTCATAGTACCCCAAAAAGGGCTATGAAGCTTGCTTGATCTACTACTCAGTGGCTGAAGAGGGCAATCTCGCCACTCCCGGCATCCACCACGTGGAACGTCTCCCATGTGTGCGAGGCAGCGTGGGCATGAAAGGTCGCGGGGGTAAGGTGTGCGTAATGCACAGTGTCCATGAAGTTGTTGTGCATGCGCAGCCAGGTTCGGTGGACATTGGAGTAGAGGGCTACGTTCGTGCCCGGCTCCAGGTAAGGCTTGCCCACTGTAAATTCGAACTGCTGATGGGTCCACCAATCTGGGAAGTCCTTGGCCTGAATTTTGGGACTGACGGAGGTGGCGTGGTCCGCCGCCGTCACGAACCGCTGGACGTGCTTGTTGTACAATCCAAACCATCCCCTCAGTGAAGGGACCACCGTGAACCTCGAGCCGTGCCAACTTCGATGGAAGTGGCCTTACTGCCAGTTTCCTAGGAGAACCAGAAGGTTCTTCTGTGGGAGTTTAGAGATTGCAGTACCCCACAAAACCTAAAGGTTACTTGCTCCTCGAAGGGGCTTGGGGCAGCAGGATGACCCCAAATCTGCGTATCGGACATCATCAGGAAGCGCCCCGTTTGCTCATTGTGCAGTCCGATCTCCCCATCTCCTGCGTCCACCACAGTCCAGCGTGCGCGATCGTCCTTTCCGCCAGCAGCCGCCATGAGAGTGTGGGGACCAATGTTCAAGTACCTTAGGGCCTTAGGGAGTACATCAGCATTAAAATGAAAATGCCTATGGTCCCTATGCCCTATTATACCTTATACTACCTTGGGTTGAATCGTAGCATAAGAATGTCCAGAACAACGCTCCCAATGTAGTGACCATTTGGTTTGCAAGGCACTGCTTCCAGTAGCGGTTGTAGATGTAGACGGTCGAGCCAGGCCTCAGGAGGATGGGCGGCGGGGGTGCTGGCACGTCTTTGGTGGCGAAGTCCTTGAGGGCATTGAGGGCCCTGTCTCTGCTTAGTGGGGCCACAAAGGGGAGGGCGTGCAGCACCACAGCAAATTGCTCGGCAATGTCCACCAGCTTCAACCTGGGCAACCGAATGAGCGGAAGTGGGGCCGTAATTATATCCATGCATGTGCATGTATGTATGTATGTCTGTATGTATGTATGTGAAGCCACTGGACACTGGGCACAACCAGGAGTTGGAATTCCAGTGCAGATTCGTGATGTCACGTGGGCGGATGACTCTGCCTTCCCTTTTACCAACAAGGCACCGGGCCAAACGTGTTGGATCTCTGGTGCTGTCGACATGTCGAACGCCTGCGACGACGGCAAGCCTGCAGTCAGCTGCCGGTTCAGGCTGCCCAGCTGATTGGCTGGAGGTGCCGAAACTGCTGCCGTATTTTTCGGACAAAGCAAAACGTCAGTGTTCCTGCCCTCAAAACACATGGACCTGCAGCCTACCGGCTGCTGGTATGGGGGGCAACTTGCCGTACATGCGGTGTACGATTCTGGACGACAATCTTGTCACGCGCCTTCCGGATTCGCGACAATCTGTGATTGTCCTGGAATGCCACAAGCCTTTGGTGGAGACAGGGACAGCCGGAAAAGATACGTTGAGGATTTCAACCTTGCGCCATTTCGTATCGTCGAGGGTTTGAAGGCGGTTGAGGATGTGTGGCCTCAAGAACAAATTGACGCACATCATGCCCTGTGTGATGGATTGTGCGACAGCGCTACTGAGACCATTGCCCGTTTGTGTTGAAGACCTTCCCTGAGCACCCGTTGTGACGATCCTAGGGATCCCTGATCTGCGGTTTCTGTTATTTCAAGCATTTGGGGTCCGCAAGTTTTCAACTAGAGCGGATGAGCGCGACACTGCTGCGATTGGCGACTTCAAGGGCATGAACAACAGAAGGGATGAGGGTTATTTCATGAGGGCCAACCAACTGTCAAACAGCAAGTGCATCCCCACAGACTGCAAAGATGCAAAGCCATTCCTAAACAGTGATATGCAGGAAAGTAAAATATCCCGTACAATGACAGCATCACCACCAAAAACAACAACACTCACATCCAGTAATAGCAAATATAGCACTAATCACGACAACCATTCTTCTGTATTACATCCTTCCTTATATTACATGCGGCATAACCTGTGCATATGATGAAGACTGCAAGTGGCCTAAGGAGGTATGAAGAATGTCAGTTGATGTACTTCCATTATCCAGTATATCGTTGAAGACTCAAAACTTGTCGGCTCGTGGGTTCTATCACAGCCTATCCGAGATACAGAGTTTCGCAAAGCTTTTAGCATTGTAAACTTGAATGCTGGCTACACCAACCTTTAAGTAATGTTCTCCCCTGTAGACATATAGATTATACTATATACTATATGTATATATATATATATATATAGGTATATAGGTACATAGGTATGTAGGTACATATAGCTCACATGCATAGGTATGTATGTACGCACATACATACTTGCAGCCTAACATACATGCATACATACATACTTACTTACTTACTTATTTACTTACTTATACATATACATGCATACAGACCTTTCCCAGTTCGAGGCATTCAGTGGAATACGCAGCATTAATTATGTTAGACCTATAGACCTAGACAGGCATATACCTATACATATATACATATACATATATGTATAAGTATATGTGTACATATGCATATACAAAAATTACACATATAATTAAATATACATATACATATACATGTACATATACATGTATACATATACAGTGTATATATATATATGCATACATATGATATACATATATCTATATATATATACGCATAAAAAACATGAATACCAACAATACATACCGACATACTTGTAGACATCGATACATCTATACACCTTCGTACATGAAAACACAGATACAGATATCTGCAGACACATATCATCCAGACATAATCATGTCTGCATCCGTATATAAACTACATATGTAACTAATTATATGTATGTGCGTATACATATGTGCCCCAAGGAACGTCTGCTCCCCGGACTTCAAGAGGTCGGTGAAGCCAAACTCGGCACGCATCTCCAGGCTGGTCCCGGCCAGGAGGGCTCTGAGCCGGAAGTTCACCATCCCGCTTGCGTCGAACCCGAAGTTGAACAGCTGGAAGCCCTCAAACGGCTCCCCTAAACCCAAAAGCCCGAAACACACAACCCTAATGCAAAACCTGCTTCCGAGGTTCTCCCTGTGTGCTGGTGGAAGCAAGGCTCAGGTGCCGAGCGGCTGCTGCGCCTCGAAGTTCCTTCACCCAGAGATACCCAGACAGTAGAGTTTTGGGTTTAGGGTTTCGGGATAGCAGTGATATTCGTGGGTTTCCAATTTATTGGGTTTAGGGTTGAGGCTGGCTAGATTGCTAGATTTATTATTTATGGCAATTTATGGCATCATACGTTGCATTGATTCAAGCTGATGACGGGGGGCACAACCCTTCCGAATGTAACCCAGCTTCTGAGGTCAAGTTGATGCCCAAGTCGGAATAGTTTGCGGAGGCCAGGTAGAAGTCCTCCTCCTCCGTCCATTCCAGCACGCCCTGATCTTCCTGCGCTGCTTCTTCGCCGGATGCGGCTTGGCGCGTCTCGTTTTGGCTCGTTTGGAGGAGCTTCGTCCTGGAGATTTCTTGCTGGGGGTTGGTGGAGCCCTGCCAGGTTCCCATGCTGGCGTGCGTGTGCTCCCCGGCAAAATCCGTGGGACTGCCAAATCGCTTGCTCAGGCGGAGGGACCGGCCAAAGAGCAAGACGCCACTGGACTTGATCTCGGTACGCAGCAAGCTCAGGTCCTGACCGTCAGGCCTGCCGACGGGCCAACACACCGTCGTGTCCACCGATGCCAGTGGCTCGGGCATCACGTCGAACTGCACACCTCCCACAAAGGCCACCACAGGCTGGACATTGATGCCGTACGTCACCGTCATGCACCTTTCGATGGCCGACTCGCCCGTGTAGAACGAATAGCCTCCCGTTCTGTGACTGCGAGTGTCTATCCCAAAATGACCGCGAAGACCGTACAAGTGCGAAATCGACCAGTCTACCTGCTGCTCCCCTACAAGCACTGCGTACCAGTGAACTCCAATCGACGTGCTCTAACTCTAAAAACCTCCTGCCTTGCCACTTGTTCCAGTTCCTCTTCATCCAATCGTTTCCGCACGGAACGGCCCAGGGTTCCAGCGCCACGAATGTATCCTCGTTCTGTACCTGGCCATCACGAACAGAAGTAAGACGATTCGGGAGGAGGGTGTAACTTGAGAAACCTGCCCTACGGTCCCCAAATTCTACAGCCAGAACCATAACCATAACAAGAACTATACTTTAGACTATAACTATCATAACTACTACTAACTTCTCGGTGACTCTACTCGACGGTTCTACGGCGGCAGGATGAAAGTTCGTCGGACTCTCGCACGTTGGTCTCAAACATTGTCCAAAATCCCTTCCCCTTGAAGACTTCTGCAAAGAAGTCGTCTGTGCTGAACAGTAAAGCAGTGTAATTTAATTGGTTCCCGTGGATTCATTGCTCCGCTAGCCACGCCAATCAAACTCGCTTCTGCAAACTGCACATCATCAGCACGATCACATATGCAAGTGCGACGAAACTAGAGTCCTGGCGAGGTATCCTACACCAGTACCATTAGCATTACCATTGCCATTGCCGTTATCATCGCCGTCAGTATCACTATCACTATTCCTATTCCTGATTATTCTACTACAGCTACTAGTACTATTACGGGAAGAGGACGCTGTGGAGCCTTCTTCTGTTAAGGTTTTCACGTGCTTCTCGGGAGTCCTGCTTTGGTTCATGGCTCCCAAGGCTCCCACGGTCCTGCTCGATTGAATTTCAAGCGGCCAACTGAGAGATGCCCCATGAACGTGTGTTGGACAGTGGGTTCCGGGTCCCTGCCCGATTGAACTTCCATCGGGCAGGGCACGGAAGGCCGGGGTGCCTCCATCCTGTATGCTGAGATACACTACAGGCTGTACGCTACATGCTGTAGATGTTCTACCATACACTGCGTGATTATAGCCTGGATCCTGGATACTAGATCCTGTGTCCTATATCCTACATTCATGCTATAGAATGTGAATGCAATATACAATATACGAAAGACAGACTATATATACAGTGTGCCATCCATTGCATGCCATACATTGTCTTCAGATTATGCACTGTATGCTATGTACGATGTCTTCAGTCCTATATGCGATATGCTCTGCGATATGTCAAGGCAATATCCCATATGCGACATACTCTACACTACATACTCCGTCCCGTATACGACGATGATGTACTGTGTACTATATTATACTGTTACTACATCCTGCATGACCATATGCTATATAAGGTATGCTATGCACACCATACCTTTCTCTATACTCTATACCCTATGCTCCATACTCTACACTCTATACTCTCTATAACCTGCCTGCCAGTCCGCTTCCGTCGCCTGACCGTTGGCGCCGTGCTTGTTCTTCGGGGCGAAGGCCAGACAGGAACTCGTGTCCTTCTCGTAGCCCTGGAACCTAGATTTTGTGGTTTACAGTTCACGGTTTAGGGTTCCGGGTCCAGAGTTTAGAGATTATTGTTCAGGGTAGGTTTCAGGGTTTGAATGCTTCTGGGGTTTCGGCTTCGGCCTCTTGCTGTGTATGTGCTGGTCCATGAAGTGCACTACAAGGGGCTGTGTCACCAGCTTGGATTGGTAGTTGCTCCCTTCGTCGTGGAGATTGAAGCTGATACCGTCGTTGGGAGGATCGTCATCCCCCCTCATCTGAAGAGTTGACATCTTAGCCTTCATCTGGTTCTTTCCTGACGTGTCCAACTTGCTAGAGGGAACTAAAGGCTAAGCTCTGGCATGATACGAAGGGTATAATAAGCAAACAGAGCTGAGAATTCCTTTCCTCTGCCACCAAGTTTCGGCTGTGGGTTTTGATCACGAGGCTGTGACCTGAATGATGCACAACCGGCGAAGCCCCCACAGCCGGGAACTTCGAGAGTGCGGCCTCTTGGATCAAGGAAGAGCCACCCTTCAGGATCTTCCCCGCCACTGTGCCCGCCACCTTGGCGAAACCTCCCAGAAAGTTGTTGAGAATGTCGCCAAGCTTATTCAGCTGGCTGAAGGGGGGCACATTCTCGATGATGCTGTTGCCCAGGCATGTCAGCATGCCGATTGGCGAATGCTTGTTGGGGTAGCCGCCCATGGGGCAGCTTACGAGAGCCCGAGCGAGCTCCATGAGGGAATTGAGGAAGTCCTTGTCCAAATTCTTGATTGCCCATCTTACCCAGTCATAGATGCCCTTGAGATCACCAACACCACCACCACCACCACCACCACCAGTGGCAGCACCAAACGCAGACGAGATGGGGTCAATTTCAACGCCTTTTTCTGTGTGGCCGGTGTTGACGTCGGTTGTGTCCGCCGTCCGTTTCTTCGGAAAAAAAGAAACCTGTTGTGAGGATGCCCCATGGCCATCCAACAAACTAGCCTTCAGGTGCCTTGGTGGGGCCGCGTGGCTACTACCACGATTCTCATTTTTGTGAGTATTGCTATGATTATTATGATTGTTATTCCTACTATTCTTATTCTTATTTGTATTATTGCCTGCCAAGCGCCTTCTTGCCCCCTGCTTTTCCTTCTCCTCGCAGCAGCCTGAAACCTTCTTGAGCTCCATCTCCTTAAGGGCAGGCCCGCAACCACCACTCACAAACCAAGCCATTATATGCTAATACTATTACTATTACTAGCACTATTGCTATTACTATTATCAGTATTACTATTACCATTTCTATTTCTATTACTATTCTTCTTCTGACTTCTGTTATTGTTAATATTGTTATTGTGATGACTATTATTAGCAACCTGAAAGAATTTTGCCAGGTCTCAAGCTCGCCAACCTTGTGCATGAGGAACTCCATGTTGGCAACCAGTCGCCCGATGTCGTGCGTAGCTTCGGCATCCTTGAGCTCCTTGTTTTGTAAAACTCTTAGACCTGTCATAGGAGCTAGTGTAATAAGATTTTGAGAACAGGTTGTATAAGGGCTTCCTCGAAAGTGCTCTTCACCACGGCGCTGGAGGAGTTGGACTTGTTCGTCTTCATGGCCATCAAAGGCGAGATGAACAGGATCCGCCAAAATAGCATGGCTTGCTTCATTTGAAAGGAAGGGACGTCGATAAAGACGCCGAGGAAATGGGCGCAGAAGATGCGCGATATGTGCTAGAATACTGACTGTCAGCACTTGAGCCAGGAGCCATGGGTCAATCGACGCGAAGATGTTCATCGCACATGCAGCCCAATGTCGCAAAACCCACACTCAGAACCTCCAAAACACCTCAATTAAGGAATATTCCACATTCCTTAACCACAATAAATCATACGGATCCTAGCACTTCTGTAAGTTAAGGTATATTCCTTTATACGAGGGCTTTAACCAGGGCTTTGGAGGGTCTGGGAAACACAGCCAAAGAGATTCAGTCCCCAGTGCACGCGGTGCGCCTCCGGCACAACGGCGCAGAGTGCCGAAGGCTACCTTCGGGAGTTTATCATGTATACGGATGCCTTAAGGTTTGGGGTTGAGGGTTTAGGCCTTTGGGTTGAGAGTTGAGGGCTTGGGGTTTGAGGTTTATTGAGGGTTCAAGGCTTAAGGTTATAAACAAGCATTGGCTTCACTTGTGGCAGAGTATACTATTGTCACAATGAGGAACCCTAAGGAATGACGTTGGTAATTATCTAGGCTTCTACCTTATGCGATATGCCCTACATGGACATCTTAGGTCTTAGGGGCACAAACAAATCCTGCAATACCTCCGCTACAACTGAACCCCTGAAGAACCCAGACCAACTAAAAACTCCGAAAAAAAAGCAAAACTGCAAACCGTAAGCCCGGCTTAAGGGATCAGGGGACTGAGTAACTAGGATTATAAATTACTTCTAACCCCAATTAACAGCTAGGGTACTTGTAGTCTCACTTCCTAAATCTCATGATCCTCCAAGTATCTTTTAGATCCCTAAACTATGAGATCCCCAACTCAGAAGCTCCGAAAAACCCTACGGGTACATGGGTGGCTCTCCAACTGAAGGTCCCCTTCCAGGAGCCCCCAAAAAGGCGGCAGGGTCCCTAAAGCCCCCGGGCCGAAACACTGAACCTTCGTTTGCTTTTCGAGCCAATTCCTTCCTTAGGGTTTAGGGTTTAGGGTTTAGGGTTTAGGATTTAGGATTTAGGGTGTAGGGCTGAGGGTCCTTTCCTGAGTCTTCCTTGACTGTCTGGTGCTTAGCAGGGAATGGGTTGTAGGGATTACTGTAAAGGACCTTAAGGGACTATCATAGGGATCCATTCCCCCATTCCCTACTAAGCACCAGACAGTTGAACGGGCCCTCAGCAAGGCGAAACAGCCTCCGGGAGCTGTCACCCTTAGCTATGGACTCTCCAAGCCACTGCAGCATAAACCCTGACCCCTAATGAAGCCTAAACTCTACACCACAGAACCCCAAATTGCCTATATCCCCAAGAACCCCTCAACAACAACTAAAAAACACATCACAACCCCAAACTCTCAAGCCTAAACCCTAAACCCAGCTGAATTTAGGGTGCTTTAGGGTTTTGGGGTTTAGCTAAACCGGGTTTGGGGTGGCAAGCTTGGGGTATTGGGCGTAGGGCTTAGGGTACTGTAGGGGCCTTAATAACTAGAATAGGGTTTTGGGGGGCCCCTTTATAGTATATTTATAATAAGGAGCCCTAACCATAATATTGGTAATTATTTAGGCTTCTACATTATAGGGCTTGGGGCTCAGACTTCGGGGTTTTTGTGCCAGGGATTGGGGCTCGGGGCTTGGAGTTTAAGCTCTTGGGCTTTAGGTTTTTTTTTTTTTGAGCTCCTTTTCTCCAGTGCCCCGAAAGGTCTGAGAGGCCAGTACGGCCAGGACAGCTTTAGGGTTTTGCGTTCAAGGTGTAGGTCTCCGGTTTGGGGTTCAGGATTTCGGATCTTGAGCTGGCAGACTTGCGGTCTCCGAAGACTTCAGAACAGGGTTTAGACGTGTAGGCTGTCGGGGGTTTAGGGGAGTACTGAAGGCAAGATGCACAAAACCAAGAGGGCCCGAGTGAAAACCCTCGTAAGGCCACAACGCATGTTTTTCAACACCGCGAGACCCTATAATGTAGGGGCCTGAACAAGCAGAACAGGGTGTTGGGGACACTGTCGTATAAGGATAATCTGGGTACTTACTCGGGCCCTTGTTCCAACAGTTTCATAGAGCCCGTAAAGTAGCCCTAACAGTAGGCCTCTTAAAGAGCCCTAAAGATAAACCCTAGTCTAGTCCTGAAGGCCCCGATACTAGAATACCAAATCCTATAAAATCCTCAGGAACCCTGAAACCTGTACAGTGGTTCGAACCATCCAAGCAACCCTTAAAGGAACCCTCCTTGAACCCATTACAACCCTCTAAGGAACCTACAGGAACCCTGACAGCTACCCTTGAAGGAACCCTTAGAGCAACCTTCAAAGGATCCGGGAAAATCCTCATGAACCCTTACGAAACCCTTGCAGAAACCTCATGTCAAAGGGACCCTTTCATGGACCCTGTAAAAAATTTACGAAACCCTTGTAAAAACCCTCAAAGGGAACCTTCAAATGCCCCTGTAAAACATTTACGAAACCCTTTTTGAACCCTCAAAGGGAACCTTCGAAGCAGGTCTCGCGTCGCCGTGTCCGGCTGTGTCCCGGTATGGAGGGCCAGGGGGGAAGTGCCAAAGACCTCGCGCTGTAGGGTTTATTAGGGGGTTTAGGGGTTTAGGGTTTAGGGGCTTAGGGTTTAGGGGGTTTAGGATTTGGGGTTCAAGGTTTTAGGGCGGCTTAGAGCTTACTAGGGCTTGAGGTTTAGGGTTTAGGGTTCATCCTTACAGTAACCCTTGTACTGGCCTTTACAGGAGCCCGTTTACTCATCATAGTAACCCTCCAGCGACCTCGGTCCCCCGGCTTTCAGGGGCCGAGATTGGGCGTGAGGTTTAGGATCCACTAGGGCTTACTGTAGGGGCCTTCAAGGGGCCAATTAGAATAAGGTTTTTGGGAGGTTCCTGACTATAATCACAGTGTAAGGTACCCAAAGCCCTATTCTAATTACTAAGGTCCCTATACATGATAGGGCTCGTGGGGTTTAGGATCGAAGTTAGGGAATAGAAAGCTTGTCGGGATTACACGTTTCTGCGTCCGGCTTGGGGCTGAGAAAGCATGCTGTTCAGGGCCAGCGTACGGGGAACTGTTGGGAAGCAGGTGGTGCAGGGTTTGGGGTTCAGGACTCAGGGTTTAGGGCCAAAGCAAGCGTTAGCGAGTTGAATGTAGGCTGCTGCGCAGGCTTAACCGGGACCCTAAGGAACCTGCCTTTTTAGGATTTCTTCATACGACTTCCTTATGTAAGTCCTCAAAAAGGATGGCATTTACATCTGGACAAGGTTTTGTCGGGTATGGGGTGATCGCCTTGTCGCTCTTGAGCTCCGAGCCCAAGACTCCAATCAGATCACCTGCCCCCCGGCGTGACCTAAAGACGGATGAAGAAAGATGCCCGCAGAGGTTAAGCCCTAGAACCACCAGACGAAAATCCCAAGCACAACAAGCTGTGCTACAGTTGCCCGAAACTCTAAACCTTGTTCATGACAGACTCCTTAGAGTCCCCTTGAAGCAATCTACAGAAAGCTCTAGGGGCAGATTGAAGTTGAGGAAAGATTTCCTTCACTGGATCGAAACCCGCCCCAGAAGCCCAGTTGGTCCTACTACTGTATCTCAAACCTATATTAATCACCCATCAGCCAATAACCCTGCAGTGTTGGAAATTGCAATTTCACATACTTGCAACCCCAACCACTTGAAGGATAGCGGGACTTAAAGTGTGGGATTGTAAGTAATTAAGCCGCCGGTGGTGTGTATAATCCTAAAAATAATCATAATAATCATAAAAACGAATCAACATAATCTGCAAAATAATAACCATTATATTCATACTCAAAATACCATTCAAATTAGTAACCGAAGTAATAATCGTAAGAATCGTAACAACATCGGTTGCAGCTGCAGGCCTCCGGTTGCCGGCCTTCAGAGTTCAAGCAGAGAGACCTGACAAGTGAAACCCACTGAAATAGCTTTAGGGTTTAGGGTTTAGGGCTGTGAAGCCCACTGACAGGGCTTACCATTTCTTGTTTTTTTTCTTGTCACTAGGGTTTACCATGTCGGGCTTTGAGGTTTTATAGGGTTCAGGGATTCGAAGTGGTAGGGTTGGTTCAGGGTTTTAGGGCTTTAAGGCTGCAGCAAGGGTTCCTGCCAATCCCCATTTACACCATGTTCCAAAACCACTGAGCAAGTCAGGCTGAAAGTAGTTAACTGTAAAGAACAAGGTTTTGCGGCGTTCATTCTTTCTGGGTATCAGGGTTTGAGATTTAGGCTTAAAGTTTAGAGGGTTCAGGGTATGACTCATGTTTAAGGGTTTTGGCTGACGGCCGGAGCTGTCGTTCGCGCACACATGCAACCTCGCGTCTAGTTTTGTCGGAGCTATGAGGGCACGCTGTTACCAATTACTGAGTATTCCGACCCCTACTCGCTGTCGCCTGAAGTCGGGGAATCAAGTCAAGTAGGTTTTGGTCAAACTTCTGCTTTTCAACTTTGGGGTCTATAGACATCTGGGCCGAGGTAGATTCGTCCCAAGCGTACGTCACTGTAGAGCCTTTAGAGCACATGCGTCGGGCACAGATCTAAATGAGATTCGGACGGTGCTGTCAGTGGTTTCCATTTCGAAGGGTTGGCTCTGATGCTGTCTCCCGCCGTGTTGGGCGGCCTTCACACAAAACATCGCAGGTCGAGCCGCGGGGGCGGCAGAGCCACACATCCAGCAAGCTTTGGACTCAGACTTCGGCGGCTTCTCCCCAAAACCCTAAACTGGCCCTAAACCCGAAACTCAAACAGCCCTGAACATGTTGGGGCTCTTCGGCATCTTTCGGGTTTGACTCGCACCTGGGAGCCAGGACTTGAGAGATGATGTCTTAAGCGACTTCGACAGCTCCAGAAAATACCGCAGAAACTGCAACAAATAGTTATTGACAACATCCGATGCTGGTACCTATATCCTTGAAAGTACCTTTATAACTCTGTCGTGAAATATTCACCGAAAACCTATTCAATGTTCCAAATTCCAACTGGTACTGTAAGTGCTCCAACTTGGGGTCACGGCTCTCTCCAGACGTCGACTGCACCGCTGGACTTCCGCCCAAGGATCCAGCCTAGGGCGTTCCGGAAGTCTGTAAGGGCCATTGGGGGAGAGGGTCAGCTTTGGGGGGCAGGGAGGGGAGAGGCCCCTTTGTTTGAAAGTGTGATGAGCCCAGTGGCTTACAGGGATCCTACCCATTAAATAAGTCATCCAAGAAAAGGCATTACATTTAAGGGTCTAGGTACAGTGAGCGGATTGAGGCATAAGAGGCAAGCTTTCCCGCTCTGGATCAAGACCCGCTCCACCCCCAGAAGACCGGTACCCGAAAAATCGGACTACTGGTCCAATAAACCCTTAACCTTGAACTTCTCAAACCTCAACCCTAAACCGTACATAGGACTTCTAGGGCTGCAGGAGCACAGCAAGGCGCTCCGAAGTGCCAAAATCCCTAAAACCTGCGGACTCTCCTGGAGTTTAGGGGCTATGGGGCTAACGGTTTGCCGCTTATGGGGTTAAAGGTGCTTTTGGGCTTATAGGGTTTTGGATTTGTAGGGTCGCGGTTTGCTCGTTTGGGCCCGTCCTTTCGGGGGTTACGCAGCGCATTCACCCGGCCTTTCAGGGCCCCTTCCAGTGTTCCAGGGTCTAATTATATATATAGAGTTTAGGGTTTAGGGTTTAGGGCACTTGAAGGATAGCGGGACTTAAAGGGCAGGATTATAAGTTATTAAGGCAACTATGATTCGATTACGTAAAACCCAAGTCAGGTTGCTTATAACCTTACCTGCTAAGTCCACTGATCTTCCACCACTAACAGCCCTGAGCTATTTGCAAAGACTCAGAGGCCATTCCGAGGATAGGCAGTAATCATAGCAAGATTAGCGGAATATAAGGGCCTGAATAAACCAGCTACAGCACGATACCTCCAGTCAACCATTTCCCCCCAAGTCCTGGTTTGAGGTCCAGCACAAGTCAGAGTCGCGTCCTGCTCCCTAAACCCTAAACCCAACCCAAAACACTCCAAGACTCTCCCTTCCTCCTGCAACCTCCGAGCCCTGCCTCACGGATAAACGGCGAAGAAGAAGCGAAGACGAGAACCTAACCACAAGGCAGGCCCGGAGTAATTATGCAACGCAGACATGCGAACTCTCGTGAAGGCACCTTGTTCATGGATCCCCGGCTTCTGCACGGCTGTCTCGAATTCAATCCATCCGAGCATGAAAGCGTACGCGAGTTTACTTCACGCATGCCGTGGGCGGGGTGTACACTCCTAAAAAAATATAATAATCATCATCACAAGAATCAACATAGTGTTCAGAAAATATTCAACATAATGCTCGAAATAATAATCGAAATAACAATCGAAATAATAATCGTAACAACATTGGTTGCAGCAGCTGGCCTCCAGTTGCCGGTGCAGGACGTAGCAGGGAGTTCAAGCAGAGAGACCTGACACGTGGAACCCATTAAAATGGGAGTTTCCGAAAATTAGGGGCTACCTTTTAAAGGGATCCCTGAGGGTTCCTTAAAGAGATCTATAAGGGTTCTATAAAGGGTTCAGAGTTTAGAGTTTCCAAAAATTCGGGATACCTTATTTTGGGGTCCTTAGAATGAGGATCCTACTATTTAGGGTACTATATTAGGGTCCCCTATTTTCGATGGCTTTAAGGTTTAGGGTTTAGGGTTTACCATTTCACAAGGTTTTGTGGCATGCATTCTCTTATGGCGAAGACAGGCTAGTTTGGGCTGGTGGGAGTGAAGGATTCCCTTCACTGGATCAAGACCCGCGCTGGAAGCCCAGCTACCTAAAAACGTGGGCTGCTGGTCCGCTGGTCCGAATCCGCATATCAAACGGGTTATAGCCTTTAGCCCAAACTTATAATTCCCATAAGCCAATAAATCCTAAACCCTAAACCTCAAATCGTTTCAACCCTAGGATGTAGACCCTCTAAAGGGCTTCTATGGCCTTCCAGGGCTCCATGAGCACTTGAATGCACAACACCAGGCGATCGAAGGTTCGGAAAAATCCCCTAAAGCTGTGGACTCTCCCAACTTAGTAGCTAGGATTCCTGAATGGGATCCGTAAAGGGGTCCTTAAAGGGCTCTATAAGGGATTTAAGCTGTGGACTCTCCCAACTTGACGGAGCATTGGACTTAGTAACCACCTTAACCCCGAATCCTTATCATATGATGTCCTTATATAAGCCCTTAATACGGTAGGTTCTTCCGGGATAAGGTGGGGTGTGATAAAAGACGTAGCTATACTTATAAGTGTTTATGATCCTAAGTGATGTACGAACGGATCAGGGTTTGCTTGACAGGGCCGATAGTTTCAAGGTGCCCCGGTCGTTCAGGGCTTCTTCCAGGGTTCCTAGGGTTTGGGCTTCAAGGGTTTTTTAGGGTTTGGGGTTTTGGGGTTTTAGGGTTTTAGGGTTTTGGGATTTAAGGGTTTAGGGTTCAAGGGTCTTTAAGGGGGATTAGGGGCCTCACAGTGATCGCAGATGGCGAAGAGCAGCTGGAGACGAGCACCTGACCCCACAAAGGGAGGTTCGACAGGATCCTAGGCGAGGGTCCCGCGCAAGGCACAACACGAACTCTCATGGAGGCGCCTGTTTCATGGAGGCCTTGCGGCTGTTCCGCTGTTCAAAACATGAACGTGAAAGGTCACGTGCGAGTTTACGCCACCCATTCAACAGGTGGGGAGGAAAATGAGGTTGAGAACATATGCTGCTCAGCGTTGCTCAGCGCGCAGCGCCGAAGTCCCAGCCATTTGGGAGTGTCGCGCTGCTGGTAGGTGTGCTGCTGCCGGGCAGCTCGACCACTTGCCATCGCTCCCACGTCCACCAGTCAGGCATGTCAGCTGGCGACTTTGGTTCACTGGCGTCACAGCCTCCATGCGGTGTTGCGCGCAGGAACCGGTTGTGTTGAGGGTTGTGCAAGCCAATGAGGCCATTGCCGAGGGGCACCACGGCGAACCTTTCCGAAGTCCAGTCGGCTGGGAGCTCATGGGCGGCCTTGTGGTCCGTCGAGTGGGTCTTGCCGTCAGACGTCACCCCCACGAACCGCACCCACTTCGGGCCTTACTTCTCCAGTTTCTTCGGGGGAAAACGGCTCACCTGTGGGATCATGTATATAGGGCTTATAGTATAGTCATAGTACCCCAACAGAAGGGATTGATATGAGACTTGCTGGATCTACTACTCAGTGGCTGTAGAGAGCAATCTCGCCACTCCCGGCATCCACCACCTCGAACGTCTCCCATGTGTACGTGGCAGCGTGGGCTTGGAAGATCGCCGGGGTAAGTCCGACATGCGCCGCAGTGTCCATGTAGTTGTTGTGCATGCGCAGCCAGCTCTTGTGATGCGAGTAGAGTCCTACTTTCGTGCCCGGCTTCAGGTAGGGGTCGGACACGATAAATTCGAACCGCTGATGGGTCCATCCTGCTGGGAAGTCCTTGGCCTGAATTTCCGGACTAACATTGGCGTCGCCGGGCCCCACCGACACGAACCGGCTGACGTGCTTATTGTACAGCCCAAACCGTCCACTCACCGGTGAAGGGACCACAGTGAACCTCGTACTGCTCCAACTTCGATGCAAGTGGCCTTACTTGTCCTACGATAGCCAAAAAGTTATTCTTCAGGAGTTTAGAGATTACCATACCCCCCCCAAAAAAAACACACATGAAGATTACTTGCTCCTCCAAGGATCTTGCGGCAGCAGGATGACCCCAAATGTCCGCATCGGACATCATCAGGAAGCGCCCCGTTTGCTGATTGTGCAGTGCGATCTCCCCATCTCCTGCGTCCACCACAGTCCAACGTGCACGATCGTCCTTTCCGCCAGCACGCGCCATGTGAGTGTGGGGACCAATGTTCAAGTACCTTCTGGACTACATCAACGTCCAAATGCCTATGCTCCCCAGTATACCTTATACTATTTCGGGTTTGATCATAGTATAAAAATGTCCGGGGCAACGTTCCCAGTGTAGCGACCATTTGGTTTCCAAGGCACCGTTGGAAGAAGTGGTTGTAGATGTAGACGGTCGAGCCAGGCCTCAAGACGATGGGCGGCGGGGGCGCTGGCACGTCTTTGGTGGCGAAGTCCTTGAGGGCATTGAGGGCTCTGTCTCTGCTTATTGGGGCCACAAATGGGAGGGCGTGCAGCACCGCGGCAAATTGCTCCACAATGTCCACCAGTTTCAACCTAGGCAACCAAAACAGCGCAAGTAGGGCCGTTTTCTATGCACGTATGTATGTATGTATGTATCTATGTATGTATGTGGGATGAGCTTGACAAACTTTGCAGGAACTCTTATTTGTTTCTATTTCCCTCGAGCGATCTAGACCTCCTTAATTAAGAGCGTTGCTTTGGGTGTTCGCACCGGGAGCTCTGCTCTCTTCTGACTCCTGGGGATGCAATGCAGCTCTGTGCCGGGGCCGACTCCTGTCCCCTCATTTTCGTTCGCAGAGACAGGCTTTGCAGCGTGGAAGTGAAGTATGTATGTGGAGCCACTGGAGGCTGGGCACAACCAGGAGTTCGAATTCCAGTGCAGATCGGTGACGTCACGTGGGCAGATGATTCCACCTTCCCTTTTGCCAGCAAGGCACCGGGTCAAGTCTTGACTACGGCCAAACGTGTTGGATCCTCGGTGCTGTCGACATGTCAGACCCCTACGCCGCCGGAAAAATCTGCTCTCTCAGAACCGCCGAATCGCCCGTCGTACACGAGCCAAGTTGTTCGAGATGGCGGTGCTCTCCACCCGGTTCAACTTGGCTGGTTGGGTTCCCCAGAGCCAGCCATAAAAGATCCCATCATCATCGGGCTAGTCACGTGTGCTTCGCCCCAGGTTGGTGGAGACAAAATCAATTAAGTGCCCTTTTCATTCGACCACACAGTCATTGGATGTTGGCCCTAGACCTGCTTGCGATGAAGGGTCGCTTAAATGGCTTGTGAGTTTCAAGATTGGAAATTTGGTGTTTTTCGAGCTTTACAGTATTTCGTGCACGCCATGCCCCATGAAAAACGAATGCGTGGATCTTGGGAGGCGAGCATACATACATACATACATACGTACATACATACATACATCCATGCATACATACATACGGACCTACCTACCTACCTACATACACAACAACGTACACGCGTACATACCCTTGCTTCAAGACCCAAGAAGCTTCCTCTCTTCGGACTTGAAGAGATCGGTGAAGCCCAACTGGGTTCGCAGCTCCAGGCTGGTCCCATCGAGAAGAGCTTTGAGCTGGAAGTTCACCATCCCGGTTTTCGCGAAGTTGAAGTGGAAGAGCTGGAAGCCCTCAGCCAGGTCCCCGAAATCTCAAACCCTGAACGCTGAACCCCAAACCCGAAAGCCCCAAACGTAACTCAAAAAGTGCTTCCGAGGTTCTCCCTGCGCCCTGGTGGCAGTAAGGCTCAGGTGCTTTGCCGCCGCTGCACCACGCAGTTCCTTCAAGCGGAGGAGTACCGCCAGAGTTTAATAAGGCTTCGGGATATTGTCACGTTAGCATACGTTAGCACAATTCGTGCTGGAACTCCTTGATACATTACTCTTATGGATTGAGGCTGTTGGGTTTCCTACTTTCTGGGGTTCATTGTAGTTTGAGGCTTGCTAGTATTCTTCCACGGTTAAGGGCTTAGACTTACGAACATAGCGTGCGTGGGACATGTTGATGCCAACGTCAAATCATTAATACACTACTGTAAACTTCACTCAATTGCCCTCAACCCGCTTTGTCAACCATTAGTTGCATTGCTTCATGCTCTTGATGGGGATGGAGCACGCAGCTTGCACATGCAACCCAGCTTCTGAGGTCAAGTTCATCCCCAGGTCGGAGTAGTTTGCGGAGGCCAAGTAAAAGTCCTCCTCCTCCATCCATTCCAGCACACCCTCGTCCCGCACGCCGGACGCTGTCTGGCGAGTCTCGTTCTGGCTCGTTTGGAGGAGCTTCGTCCTGGAGATTTCTTGCTGCGGGTTGGTGGAGCCCTGCCAAGTTCCCATGCTGGCGTGCGTGTGCTCCCCTTCAAAATCCGTGGGACTGCCGAAGCGCTTGCTCAGGCGGAGGGATCGGCCAAAGAGCAGAACGCCACTGGACTTGATCTCGGTTCGCAACAAGCTCAGGTCCTGACCGTCAGGCCTGCCGTCTGGCCAGCACACCGTCGTGTCCACCGATGCCAGTGGCTCGGGCATCACGTCGAACTGCACACCGCCCACAAAGGCCACCACGGGCTGGACATTGATGCCGTACGTTACCGTCATGCACCTTTCAATGGCCGACTCGCCCATGTAGAACGAATAGCCTGCCGCTTTGTGACTGTGAGTGTCTATCCCAAAATGATCGCGAAGACCGTACAAGTGCGAAATCGACCAGTCTACCTGCTGCTCCCCTACAAGCACCGCGTACAAGTGAACTCCAATCGACTTGATCCAACTCAAAAAACCTCCGGCCTTGCCACTTGTTCCAGTTCCTCTTCATCCAATCGTTTCCGCACGGAACGGCCCAAGGCTCCAGCGCAACGAATGTGTCCTCAGTCTGCACCTGGTCATCATGATGGGTCTCAGAACTCGGGCACAGGTTGCAACTTGAGTAACCTGCCTTGCCTGCCAGTCTGCTTCCGTCGCCTGACCGTTAGTGCCGTGCTTGCTCTTCGGGGCGAAAGCCAAACAGGAGCTCGTGTCCTTCTCGTAGCCCTGGAACCTAGGCGTCTGAATTTAGGTGCCGATTCCAACAGTCCCCAAAGCCAAATATCACTAGGGCTCCTTCTTAAGCAATAAGTTTCAATCCGCCGAAGCCACAGGCCCAGGCGTCTTGGCGGTCCTCCACCTAATCCTCCTCCAAAACTTTCGCCCCCTCCTCCCCTCTCCCCCCCTCCCCCTCCCCCCCCTTATTCGTGCTCCTGCCCAGTCCCCTGCCGCGGCCATGCTGGTCCCTAAACCCTGTGCTACAGCTGTCCGTTCGCCGCACGCTGACATGTCTCGCTGAAAAAACAGCTCTACGGCGGCCAAGCACGTGTTGAATCGTGGGAGTCCTGCTCGAAGAAATCTCAATATACCCGTGACCTCAGCAGATTTCCTGTGTGATGCAGAAAGCGTTGCCTTTCATCCGGCCCCTGCACCTGAGGAGCCGAGGCGGGCGGCGTGGCGTCAAAATTAACAGCTATCCCTACTCGATACCGAGGAATGCTTCTGAGGTTTCGGCCTCTTTGTGGGAGCTGTGAATGCGCGGATCTAAAGTACAGTACGAGGGGCTGTGTTACCAACTTGGATTGGTAGTTGCTCCCTTCGTCGTGGAGATTGAAGCTGATACCGTCGTTGGGAGGATCGTCGTCCCCCCTCATCTGAAGGGTCGACATCTTAGCCTTCATCTGGTTCTTTCCTTACGTGTCCAATTTCCTATGGGATTTGCAAAGGCTAAGCATACAAGGACCACAAGGTTTAAAATGCGCAAAACAAGTTGAGGATTCCCTTCCTCTGCTGCCAAGTTTCGGCTGTGGGTTTTGATCACGAGGCTGTGGCCTGAATGATGCACAACCGGCGAAGCCCCCACAGCCGGGAACTTCGAGAGGGCGGCCTCTTGGATCAAGGAGGAGCCTCCCTTCAAGACATGCCCTGCCACCGTGCCTGCCACCTTGGCGAAGCCTCCCAGAAAGTCACCGAGAATGTCGCCCAGCTTAGTCAACTGACTGAAGGGGGGCACATTGTTGATGATGCTGTTGCCCAGGCACTTCGCGATATCAGTCGTCGACGTTGCGGCGCAGCTTACGAGAATGTCACCCAGGTTAGTCAAGTGACTGAAGGGAGGCACATTTGTGATGATGCCGTTGCCCAGGCACTTCACGGTATCAGTCCCCGACGTCGTATCACACTTTAGGAGAACGTCGCCCAGCTGAGTCAACTGACTGAAGGGGGGCACATTTGTGATGATGCTGTTGCCCAGGCACTTCACGGTATCAGTCCCCGACGTCGTATCGCACTTTAGGAGAACGTCGCCCAGCTGAGTCAACTGACTGAAGGGGGGCACATTTGCAATGATGCTGTTGCCCAAGCACTTCACGACATCAGTCGCCGACGTTGTGGCGCAGCTTACGAGATTCTCGCCAAGCTTCACGAGGGACGTCACGGCCGAGATGGACTTGAATATGGTTCCAAGAGGTTCAGGCCAAGGCACCTTGATCAGGTTGCTGAAGTCAAGGCTAAAGAGCTTGATCTCCTTGCCCCCAGCGATGAGCGTGCAATCAGCCTTGAATAAACTCACTTCCATGTTGTCCTTCTTCAGCTCGAACTTGGGCGGTGTGACCGTACAATCTGGGAGGCCGGCCTGCAGTTGGCCCAAAGCCTGCGATGCCCAGTCGGTAGCGCCCCCCAAAAATCCACCAAGACCGCCACCGCCACCGCCGCCACCACCGGCAGACCGGCGGCGTGGGGGACTCCGACGGCGGGGAGACATCGCCGGGATGCATTTCGCGGGGTTAGTAGGGCAACGGTCAAAGATATTCTCGCGCTCCTCGTGGTGCTTGACCAGGACCCTCTCCAAGATCACCTTTGCCTGGCGAGATCCTTCTTTCTCCCTCTGCTCCATCTTCTCCTGCAGAAAGGAGGCTTTGTTGTCTTGGTCCCCCTGCGCTTGAGCACAGCAGCCTGAGACTTTCATCAGCTCAATCTGCTGGAGTTCGACGACGGTTTCCTTAAGGGCAGGCTTTACATCGAAAAAACCGAAACCTAGACCCTAAACCCAGCAATCCTACCGTCTGCCAGGTGTCAAGCTCGGCAACCTTGAGCATCAAGAACTCCATGTTTGCAGCCAGTCGCCCGATGCCGTGCAAAGCTCCGGGGTCGTTGCTGTTGGTGCCAGGGTTCGGCACGAAGGCCATGTCCTCGACTTCATCGATGGTGTTCTTCTCCATGAGGTCGGATAGGGACGGGTCGGCCCTGTTCGTCTTCATTGCCATCAAAGGCGAGACGAAGAAGATCTGCCAAAACCACATGGCTTGCTTCATTTGTTGAGAAAAACGTCGAGACACGTGCACGGAATGTGCGCGGGAGGTAGTAGCTTTCTGTCAGCACTTGAACCAGGAGACAGGAATCAAATGATGCAACGATGCTCCTGGCAATATACATATATATATATATATATAGAGAGAGAGAGAGAGAGAGAGAGAGAGAGAGAGAGAGAGAGAGAGAGATAGAAGGCCTTGCTGATTCGAGTTGCGTGTTGGTATATAATGTCGAACCTATAGGAATAACAAGGAACCGACAGTAACAGCATTAATTACATTTCATTACGAACGTGTCAAGCGTTGACATCACATGCACATCAAGACCAGAGTAACACATCGCCGCCTAAGCCCTAAATCCCAAACCCCCTTTGCCCGCGGCGCGCCTCCGAAACAACGCGGCGCAGCGGGAGTGCCCAAGGTCAAGGCCTCTTTCTCTGCATTCTCAAAGAACACCACCCCCTTAAACCTCGCAAACCGCAAACCCCTAAAATCTAAACCCCTGCCTTGGATGCATTTTGCCGTAAGGTCTCAGGGCTTACCAGAAACTATAGGGCTTCTAACGCGAATAGTGAATACCTAGACCCCCCAACTACCCTCAATTATAACCTGAATATCCACCTCTACAGACCATAAGGGCTCTATTAGGGAGCATTTGTGGGGCCCTGGTAAATCCCGAAACTCTAAGCCACATGGCAGACCCAAAAGCCAGGACTAACAGGACAGCAAACAATGCACCAAGTTGCTCCGATGTGTCCGGGAGTTGCAGTGAGCGTGTTTAAGCGTTTCTGTGGTGTAAGAATCATTGAATCATAGGACAGTTGCAGGGAGCCAGGACTATCAGACTATCAAAGATGCTTTCCGAAGCGACTTCGACAGCTGCTGGAAATCACGACAGAAAGTGCAATCAGTACTTCATCATAACATCTCTCGCAGTACAAAGATCCCTTTTAGTATAGTGCTATGGTGAAACATACCCGGCAGACCGATTATGAATTGCTGAGGCCCCCAAACCTGGGGTTACGTCGACTGCACAGCTGGCCCGGAGTTCGTGCGAGGGATCGAGCCTGGGGCTGTCCATAAAGTAACTACTTGGAGGATCATGGGACTTAGAAGGTAAGGTTATAAGTATCTTAATTGGGGTTATAAGTAATTATAAGTATAGTTACCCTAATTATAACCCTAGTTACTAATTAAGTCCCATGATGCTTTAAGTAGCTTGGCATTGGGGCATCGGGGGACAAGGTCAGCTTTCGGGGGGGCGGGAGCCGTTTCCTTTGCGAGTGTGATAAGCCTAGCTGCTCTGGATGCGGAGTTCTACATGTGCCTTTGACAAAAGGACTGGTCAATGCTCCGCAAGCCAGTCGTAACAAAAGGGCCTTAAAAATTACTCATGAGGCTGAAACAGATGCATGAAAAGGTGGTTGTCGTTCCTACCTGTGCATCGCTTACGTGCTGGCCGTTCGCGCCAGAGAGCAAACATCAAGCATCGAACAGCGTAACCGCCCGGGCAAATAACCTCTCTTAAACTAAATCAAACTCGCAGTCACAATGCAAAACCCTCCGAACCCAAAGCTCTGTAACTCTAGACTCTAAGCCGTAATAGGCCTAAACCCGAAACAAATCAGGAAAGTCCCAAAAACGCTCTTTTCACCTCCAGCTTTGCCAATCGAGTTAGAAATCAGAGTCCCGGACGACTTACAAAATGGCTCATTTCTTTGGGCCAGATACCCCTACTTGACGGTGCAAGGAGGGTCCTGGCAGCATTTGGGGTTCAGGGTTTAGGGTGGTTTTCTGCTTTGAAATCTTTGAAGCTAGGCTGGAGATGGCCTAAATTCTCTGCTGCCCAAAGCCGAGGGATCCGTGTGCCAATAGCATATGGGTAGTTCTCTAGATTAGGGTCCCTCCTGGGGGTTCGTCTTAAACCGGTGCCGTACCATTTTGGGGACCTTACAAAGGGATCCTAGTTTGGAGAACTACCCACATACTTTGGCGCTGCAGTAAGTGTCTCGGGACTACTTTAAGGCCAGAGATGAAGCCGTGCCGTTTAAGTGCGTCTGGGTTCTCTTGTCCCGATCTCGGGACTCATGTAAACTATTGGTGCAAGGAGGGCACTCCTTTAGGGTTTAGGGTTTAGGGTTTAGGGTATCCAATGAGAGCTTTCCGTATGGCTTTGGATTGACATCTGACCAGAAGCTTGTACAACAGATAGGAATTGTCGATGTCAGGGTGGGTTCTAGAGATCGGGGTTCAATGCTCAGGACGTGGTGTTTGGCAGGATCAACCCTTCTCAAGCCAGGGCTGTTAGGAATTTCAGGGTCATCGTTAGTCGGAGGTTTTCTTGGTTGCCGGGGCTGAGGTCGTAGGGCATAGGGTTTGACGGCTAGGGTCTGAAATAGATGTGCGGCTTCGAGGTAACACGCTGCAAACTCACAAACGAACCTGCGCCGTGACGTCTAGAGGGCTTAGGATCGGGTTTGGGGGTTTAGGGCTACATCATAGTAAGAACCCAGAATTCGGCTCTCATTGGGCTTGAGGATGATGTTTAGAAAGCTGTTGCCGCCAAGCTGCAGCAACAAGCCTAGGGCCTGCTCCCACTGTTGGGTCTGCTGGCCCTTCTCTCCCGGCTACTTCGTCGGGAACGAGGGAACATGATAAGAGATATCCTTCGGGATGCATCCGTTCCATCATTCCGTGCCAAAAAATTTGCGCCCGTTTGGGGAGCCTGGGTGGCAGAGTTTGAAGTTCCGGCTACAGGGGTCTATAGAATATGGGCTGTATGATTCGAAAATGTGCTCAGCGCCGCGATTTCTGCCGCACCACTGGGCGTTCGTCGGCATTGCGGGTGGTCATGCGCCAGTCAGGCACGGTACTGTTGACCCATTCGGCCACAATGAACTCCAAGGCACCTGCAAGACACAACAGGATCCAGATACCTACCTAAACCCCTAACCCCGTAACCCTACACCCTGTAATGTTTCAGGGCTGAGGATACAAGGATGGGAGCCGGGCACTTGTGCAAGGAATTGCCGTCGTGTTTGCCAAACATAGCCCTCCATCCACCCTTTATCAGCCCCCCAGTACCCATTAGTAAGGACCCTTTACCCCTACCTCAACCCTGAACCCTAAACCGTAAACCCAAAGCCCTACACCCTAAACACCCTAAACCCCAACCTAGTTATGAGACTATACAACGCCACAAGGCTCAGGCTACCCGAAACCCTCACATCCTTAGCTGCTTGCCGGGCCTTCCTCCTCAAGCTTTCGGTATAGCGAAAGCCTCAACAAGCGCACGGGCTGCTTGAAACTAGGATTCCCGTGGTACTTCTAATCAGGTGTAGATGCAACTGGAAAAACAAGGACCCAAACGAAATCACATGTTGTTGCTACTTTCGGGATCTTCGCGGGGTTTTGTCCGTGTGCCTTAGCTTTGTGCATGTGCAAGATATACCGACATATGTATGTATATATAGATATACACATGTAGATACATGTATATCCATCGATCGATTCCAAATGCATCGTTTGGATGCACAAAGTATGTTTAGGGTTTGGGGGCCTCAAGATTTCGCTTCGAGATCCCGGAAGCTTAGTGGAATCTGACTTTCCGGCTTCGTGCTAGGACCTAAATTCCCAAAGGGTCCAAAGTACCTATGTGGTAGAAGGTAGGGTCTTTTATATTGGGCGCTGCTTTTATGATTTGGGGAGGTATTCCCCATAACGGTACCTAGGACCCTGTGGGCTCTAGGGTTTAGGGTTATAACGCTTCGTAGCTTGAGGCTTTGGCTGGGAAATCACAGAAAAGCTCCCAACCCAACCGCAACCTCAGGTCGCCGGGGCTCCTTTCAAGGGATCTATACGGATACTATAAGGGTTTATAGGGTTTAGGGTTCCTGAGTCACTGCTTTATAATAAGGGTACCCTGTATTCCTACTCAGGAACCTAGACCTTGAGTCTTCAACCCAACCCCAACAGAGGTCGGGCTTATAGTTTAGGGCGACTGAAGACTGGGCTTAGCGTTTAGGGTTTATGGGGGGTTAGGGGTTCTCCCGGAGCCTTTCAAGGCTTTGCAAGCCCCCCGAATCAATGGAGGTTTAGGGTTTTGGGGGTTAGAGGGTTGAGGGTTTTAGGGAGAGGCCTTGCGAAGTGTTCGACGACGTCACGACGTCTTCGAAGAAAGCGGGTTGCAAACACTATTGAGCCGATCAAAACTCTACTATTTTGGAGGTTCCTTATTATACCTACAGAATAATAACCCAAAGACCCTATTCTAATTATTAAGACCCCTATTAGCAGGCCTCCGGTTGCCGGTGAAGCTCCACCAGCGCGGCTTGCCCGGAGACGTTCGTACGTGGGAATGCCATGTGATCCTTGGGCCGAGACACCCTCCGGCTAGGTTTAGGCCGTCTACACATTGTCTTCTAAAGCCTTATGGGGTTCAGGCTTGCAAAGCATTTGTCAGGCTTACAAGACTTCTGCGGCTTCACACGATCTAGGAGTTCAGGGTTCGGATTTCTAGCGGGCAAAGTACAAGCTGAGGTGCTGGATCTTCTCGATGTCCTCAATCTTGCATTCTCCGGACCTCTCGCGGGGTGTGCTTTGTGCGCAATTAGAGGTGTAGGGCTTTGGCTCCAAAGGTTAAGGACGCTTTTGGTGCTTAGGGTTTATGGCTTGGAGTTTCATGTCCTCCCATACAAGTAATGCATACCTCACAACGACCCTGACTTGAAACAGCGGGCACCGGACACCGCGAGACATGGTTTGGGTCAAGGTTTTGGGGTTCAGGACTGAGGGTGAATAAGCCTTTATCTATACTGAACTTAGAACCCTAGCAAAAATTAAGATTTTAGCTGTTTCTTAAGGATTATAACAACCAAAAATTAAAAAAAAAAATCTACTGTAAGTACCCCTAAGTTATGGGGCCTCGCAACTTTCTCGGAGTTTCCACCGGGGCTGCACAAACCCATCTCAAGGCATAGCTGACGATGGGAGATGCAGCCTGGGACCATCAACCTCGACTCAAGCCCTAGGCTTCAAGCACGCTAGAGTCTTTTTTTAAGCTTAAGCGCCTCTTTTCCAACTCGCTTAAAAAACACGCTAGAGTTAGGGTTCAGGGTTTAAGGTTTAGGGTTTGGGACGGAAACCTCCAACAGGGAAGCTTCTACCAAGTCTCTCTCAGACTGCGAAAGCAAAGCAAAGACGACAGCAGCCTGCTGATCGAGGGGATAATCCGAACGGCGCTAACAGGAGAAGATAGACTTTCGGATGCTAACCCTTAACCCAATTGGTAATTAGGTACTTGGGTTCAGAATAAGTGACTACTGCGTACTTGGAGCGTAAGGGTTAGTGCCCACAGCACAGAGACTCCAAATTTAAAACCATTTAATTAAGCAATACCCCGTAAATCAGAATAGGAACCCGCATAGGATTTAAGGTATGTTTCCTAATGTAGCGGTTTTGGATGCTCTGGGAACCCCCTGAACCGTCATCGCTAGGCCTGATTTTGGCCATTGTGCCGTCCAAAGTGTTGCCATCTTTGAATGCTTTTCCGATGGAGTCCTGCGGGACTGTTTGGAGACTACTTAAAGGATAACTGGACTTAGTAAGTAGGGTATTTCTTCGGGTAACTATACTTATAACTACTTATACCCCGAATTGAGGTACTTATAACCTTACTTACTAAGTCCCATGATCCTGTAAGTAGCAGCTCCGTAACGGTTCATCCGGGCTTGGGGTTTAGTAGGGTTCTCATACACGGCTTTTGTGGCGTATGCCAGCAGCATCAGGAGAGAGACAGGACCGAATGCTTCCAAAGAGCTCTCGCACGCAGAAAACCATCGGGCTTTTTTTTTTGAGCCCCTTTTTCCGTCTGCAATGTCTCAACCACAGTCAGAAGGCCCAGAGGCTTGAGGTTAACGGCTTTTCGGCTTTGAGGCTTTATACTCAAGGCTTCGGGGCTTGAGGGCTTTGGCTTTAGGACGAATGTCCCTACACCATGGTGGCCGCCTGCTAAGGAACCCCTATAGCAACCCTTTAAAGGAACCTTCATTTCAGGAAACCCGATTCTAATTGTGGCTGCCGTCATAGTACGAAGTAATGCAGGCTCCAATGCTTAGGCTCTCAAACCTCGGGAATCTCCACAAGGATCCCAACTACCTGCAAGTTCTAAGATCTAGGGGATAGAACCCTAAAAAGAACCCCAAGGAGACTTAAAACGTAGCCACCGGCCTGGCTGAAGGAAACGTCGCGTGGCCTTATCTTCCATAGCCTCAGAGGCGGATATGCTACCAGAACAAACGTGTTCAGAGTTCAGGGTAGGGTTTGGGGTGTTCAAGGTTTAGGGTTCAGTGCACAAGAACAGATGGTAGCTTGCTTGGGTATGTTCAAAAGCGGACGAAGGTTCAGGATTTGAGGAAAGACCATACGGCATACGAGCCACCTCACATGTTGGGCTGTATTTTAAGGGCAGCATAACAGTGGCTGTGACCGTATTCGTCAATAACGCGACTACCCTGAGAGGCCTGGAATCTGCTGATTCAAATTCCGGCTGTTCCATGTGCGTATAGCTTTTGTGACTATTCAGATACTCCCGTCTGTAAGTTACCAGTAAGCTCTCTACTTTTTCGTTTGCTCGGATCCATACAAAAGACCCCTAGCAAGAATCAGAAAACTTTAAACCCAAAGCCCTCCTACATCTTTGCAATGTGACAGGTCTTGGCATGATGTTTGTGGCAGTTGGGAGCTGCAGCTGAGGGCTTAGGAGGCTTAGCGTTTAGGGTTTAGGGTTTAGGGCTGAGAGGGCAGGGATTTTGGGCAATAGCCCTAAACCATGGATCCTGTTGGACTCAGAGATAGCAACTTAGCACGAAGCTTCCTTCAGGTTCGCTATGCCATGAAGGTTCAGTTGTTTCGGGGGTTAGTGCCTCTCTGGTACTTGGGCTTAGTATTGGTGTTGTGGTTTGATACCTGGGCGAGTATATGGGTAGTTCTCTAAATCAGGGTCCCTTTGGGTGCCGTAGAATTGTGGGGACCTACGAAGGCGCCCTAGTTTAGAGAACTACCCACTTACAACTCAGGTATATAATTGTTATGAGCACCCCTTGCACCCTCAACCCTGTGCTCCATACCCTAAACACTAAACCCTATACCCGAAGCCTCTATGCCCTAAACCCTACAACCTAATTATCCACATGACCTTTGGCCTAAGCCTTGGGGCTTCAGCAAAGGAGCCTTTTGGAGGATGTAGACGGGATTTCGTGCCCAGACTTCGAATGGTCGTGACCTGCGCTTTATACCATCTCGGCCACGAAACTATTCACAAACGTTTCAGTTGATTTCGGGAATGTTGCCTTTCTAGTATTTCACCCAACTTCAGTAGTTGTGAAGATTGGGATCCTGTTTCGGGGAAGATGTACAAGTCAACTCTTTACGCGATACAATATCATTTGGGGACCTAGATGGGGTCCTGATTGTGACAACCATCCGCATGAGCTTCAGCAGAAAAAGGATCCTGATACGGAGCACCAAAAACTGGGATTCTAAGAAGAAAAACCGTGGGTTTGGATCCTTATTTTCAGAAACTTCCTTAACTCCGAGCCCTCAACATCCGCAAACGCTCAACCCAAAGCCCCAAAATGCTTCAACCTGTGGCTAAACTCCCAAGCCCTGAACCCAAAAGCTGTGTAAGCATTCAGGGAGCCAGGTCCACGGGGCCAGGGCTTTCCCAAAGACTCCAAAACTCCTTCATCAAGGAATACATAGGCCTTATAACTCTTGTTAGGGTTCCTGTTATCGTTTACAGTATATTCCTGAACTAAGGTCTTTTGAGCTTTTGAGTCTCTGGGTTCAGCAGCAGTACCAGCGATAGTAGTAGTAGTAGTAGTAGTAGTAGTAGTAGTAGTAGCAGCAGCAGCAGCAGTAGTAGTAGTAGTCAACCCTGAACCCTAAAACAAGTACTTGGGCCTGACGACCTCCACAGACTATGCTGACGAGTCGCCCCAGCAGCTCAAACAGCGTACTCGTTGCGGGTTGCTCGCGACTTCGAAGAAATCAGAACCTTGGTCTTACCACCACGGTTGTAGGGTTTGGATTTTTTTAGGGGCTTTGGGGCTTTCCGGTTGTTTAGGGCTTTGGGTGCAGAGCCGTTAAGGCCCGATGTGGAGGATTACTGGAACACGGGCACTAGATTGGGCATCAAACAGTAATTAACCCACATGGGAGGCTCGGTGTTGCTGCAACTGCAAGCGAGCAAGGACCTCAGAAATCGAGGAATCCCCATTACAGAAGCCTCCAGGCCTTGTCGACAACAGTTCCCCACATCAGTTACCGCTTCCTCCGCACCCCTTCTTAAAGGATCATGGGACTTAGTAACCCGGGTCATTAACTAGGGTAACTACGCTTCTAACTACTTATAACCCCAGTTAGGGAACTTATAACCTTACGTACTAAGTCCCATGATCCTCCAAGTAGTTGAATGTGGTGGGTTCACTTCAAGCCCGGCTGCGTGCAACCCAGGTTTACCCACACCTGAAGACCCTAGCCAAAGCCGCAGGCCAAACAGCCGATAGCCAGGCTCAGAAAACGAAACCCCTCAACCCTAAAGCCCTAAGCCCCTAGACCCTGATTCGACCGATTTTTCTTGCAGAAACAGTGTACGACCCGACTTACCGCAGAGGCCCTGAGACAGAGCAGGGCTCACTGCTCTTGACCATGGGTTAGAGTTGAGAACTCGCTAGCTTCCAATGTTAAACTCAATAAACGCCAAATCCTAAATTCGAAACCTCAGACCCCTAAAATTTAAACGCCAAACCCCCGGAAGCCTAAACCCAAGCAACTAAAGCGAAGCTTCGGGCTGAAGATCTACGAACGTCAAGCGGAAACTCTTGTGCTTGGCTTGGTTCAGGTACTAGAGCGGCCACAATAACTCGAACAAGTAGGGGAAGAACCGGGAAAGGGCATCAATGAGGGCCAAAAGCACCGAGTGGTTAGGAATCCTCATTTTAATAGTTTGGATGGAGTATGCCTCACATGATTAGATACTATACTTGGCCCCAAATTAGGGGATGGAGATACTGTGATGAACCCCCAAACTTCTCTACACTGAAGCCAACCATAATGGGTTGCACGACTTCTTCTTGGTTTGAGGATGTAAAGCTACTCTGAGCTCTTTCGAACCCCCCCTTAAAAGCCCCCGCTTGATTCCCTCTTGAAGTGCCCTTCGAAGCACCTTTGAAGGGCCCCCTCCAAATGTGGGATCTATGGGAGAGCGCAGCTGCGGCACAATATCTCAAGGGGGCCGTGTCGATGCACCATGGCACGTGTCGATTCGACGCAGGGCTGGGGAAGGACACGAACCTTGGGGTCTGGGGTTTGAGGGTTGAGCGTTTCGGGGTTCAGGGCTTAGGGTTTAGGGTTGGTATCCGGCTGCGGAGGTTTGGGTTGGTTTGCACATTGTAAGCCCTGAGCTCTAAATCATTGAACTCGAAAGCCCAGAACTACCCCTCGACCCCAAACTCCACGGGCTTTGGTTTTGCTTTACCCAAAACCCTAAACTCTCGAGGGGTGCGTTTTGCTTTGGGGCTTTTGGGACTTAGGGCTTCAAGGAGAAGAGTGCGAAAGGGTTTAGGGTTGACCACGCCTAAGATCTTTGTGAATTTACAAGGGTCTTGCGATGTCTGAACTAGAAACCTAACATGAGACTAAAGGCCTGGGGCATCGGGTTATACTGCATGCATATGTATGTATGTATGAAGTGAACCCACAAAGTTGGAACATGGATTCCCAGCAAAAACGTTATGAGGAGTGCTCGGGTTCCCTATACTGTACGTTGAGGGCATGAGGACAATGATGTTCCAACTTCCTGGCTCCTACTGTATGCATTTATATATATATATATATATATATATGTATGTATGTATGTATACATAACGTCCTCACAGAGTCGGATGTTTAGAACTGGGGCATCACAAGTTGTATCCAGGCAAAGCATGAGGAATCCATGCATTACAATCCCGAACCGTTGCGGAACACTCCTACACCCAAAGCCCCAGAGCACCAAACCTCTTCAAAACTTCTGCGAAGCATGGATGTAGGGCTGTGAGTTGAAACTTAGAGGGTACGGCTTAGGAACTAGAGGCAGGTTCCTGAAACCCTAACTAGATCCCGAACTTGACCCTGGTATCCAGCCCAGGGACACGTGGGAGGCTCTGCGGCACATATCTTTCAGGTATCTTGGAGCGTCGGGATCCTGTGAAAGCTGCACCGCCCCGTGGTAGCCATCTGCATCCAAGGGTCCACCTGATTGGTATGACCATGACGACGAGGAACATCATACCAATAATCAAACTCAAAACAGTAGCAATAACAATTACTACAGAAGTATCAACAATATTCGGTAATGTAAGAGCAGCTACGATTATCGTCATTGTTCTCTGGTCGGGTTCCTTTTAGAAGTTGAAGGTCCCTTGCCTAGAGCTTGGTTTGAGCGTGCCATACGGGAGTTTCCGAACATTAGGGCTACCTTATTTTGGGAGTCCTTCTAATAAGGAGCCTACTATTTAGGGTACTATATTAGGGTCCCCTATTTTCGGAAACTCCCATACTGTCTTGGGGACCCAGACAATGACCTGCAATTCGGAGAACTAGGCAGGTGACGTTTTGCTTCGGGTATTTCGGAATAGCCGAGATGTCTGGTTGAGAGCTTGGGTGCTGAAGAAGTGTGGAGGCTAGGAGAATTTTCTGGACTCGATAGCCCATATCCGTACAGCGATAATCCACGCAATGCATGTTGGTTTACTCTGTCCTTCTACTGGAACATAACCCTAAACCCAAAACATAATAGAAAGCGCCAAGCTACTTCCGGCTTCGCGACGACCTTGCCCAAACACCCTGACCTCGGCCTCCTCTTCGATGCCAGCGTGCTGGTCCGGTGAAGGAACTTGGGGGTCTGAAACCTTGAACCAGCGGTGCGGGCTTCACATATGCAGGGTCATAAACAAGCCTAAATTCAGGGAATGCCTCTCTGACATGGGCAGCTTTGGTTTTTCCAAGATACCACCCTAAGGTATCAGCGTTTAAGCATGAAGTACACCCTGAAAAAAGTGGGTAGTCGGAGCCACACTCAGCAATTGAAATATTAATGTGGGAACCTGATTAGGAATTTCCCCTGGTTAGGCAGGCACGGGCCGGGTGTTGGGGTCAGATTTGTATGTGTTTTAATTGAACCCCAAATAAGGATAAAAAATTGAAAAAACAACCCCCCCAATTAGACAGGCTCGTTCCATCCACAGAAACAATTTGATTGACTTTCAATTGAACCCGAAATAAATAAAATGTCCCCCCAATTAGACAGGATACCCCACAGCCCCCAGCCCTTCTTATGGACCCTGAATAATTCTTAAAGATAACCCCCTGATTAAAAAGGGTTTAATCTCTCACAGCAACCAGCACCCCCCTAATATTTTTTTTAGCTCGCAGCCCCTGATTAGTTAGGACCCCACAGCCCCCAACCCTTCTTATGGACCCTGAATAATTCTTAAAGATAACCCCCTGATTAAAAAGGGTCTAATCCCTCACAGCAACCAGCACCCCCCTAATTAATTTTTTAGCTTACAGCCCCTGATTAGTTAGGACCCCACAGCCCCCAACCCTTCTTATGGACCCTGAATAATTCTTAAAGATAACCCCCTGATTAAAAAGGATCTAATCCCTCACAGCAACCAGCACCCCCCTAATTAATTTTTTAGCTTACAGCCCCTGATTAGTTAGGACCCCACAGCCCCCAGCCCTTCTTATGGACCCTGAATAATTCTTAAAGATAACCCCCTGATTAAAAAGGGTCTAATCCCTCACAGCAACCAGCACCCCCCTTTTTAATTTTTTAGCTCGCAGCCCCTGATTAGTTAGGACCCCACAGCCCCCAACCCTTCTTATGGACCCTGAATAATTCTTAAAGATAACCCCCTGATTTCAAAAGGGTCTAATCCCTCACAGCAACCAGCACCCCCCTAATTAATTTTTTAGCTTACAGCCCCTGATTAGTTAGGACCCCACAGCCCCCAACCCTTCTTATGGACCCTGAATAATTCTTAAAGATAACCCCCTGATTAAAAAGGGTCTAATCCCTCACAGCAACCAGCACCCCCCTAATTAGTTTTCTAGCTTACAGCCCCTGATTAGTAAGGACCCCACAGCCCCCAACCCTTCTTATGCCCTGAATAATTCTTAAAGATAACCCCCTGATTAAAGAGGATCCAATCCTTCAAAGTAATTAGCCGTCCTCTGATTAAACAGGATCCCCCCCAAAAAAACCTCCAAATGTGTTTTTTTTATAAGAAGGGGGTTGTAATCTTACTTGCAATTTCTATTGATGAAGATGAAGATGATTATGATGGTTTTGATGAGCTTGACGACGATGATGATGATGATCACGATTAGATGACGATGAGCTTGGCGATGATGACAGTGGCGATGAGGAGTAGTAGCAATACCAGTAAGAGTAGTAGTGGTAGTAGTAGTAGAAGAAGTAGTAGTAGTAGCAGTAGTACTACGAAAGTTGTACTACAAGAATGCACAATCCAGCCAGCAGCCGAAACGATGCATTTCCAGTACTAAAGTTGTACTACAAGCAAGCACAATCCAGCCAGGAGCCGAAACGAGGCATTTCCAGTACTAAAGTTGTACTACAAGCAAGCACACTCCATTCAGGAGCCGAAACGAAGCATTCCAGCACCAAAGTTGCACTACAAGCAAGCACACAATCCAGCCAGGAAACGAAACGAGGCATGTCCAGCACAAATTGCACGCAAGCACAAGCACAATGCAGGCAGGAGCCGAAACGAGGCATTTCCAGTACTAAAGTTGTACTACAAGCAAGGACAATCCACAGGAGCCGAAACGATTCCCAGTACTGAAGTTGAACAACAAGCAAGTGCACAATCCAGCCAGGAGCCGAAACGATGCATTTCCAGCACTAAAGTTGTGCTACAAGCACAAGCACAATGCAGGCAGGAGCCGAAACGAGGCAATTCCTATACTAAAGTTGTACTACAAGCAAGCACAATCCGGCCAGGAGCCGCAACGAAGCATTTCCAGTACTGAAGTTGCACCACAAGCAAGCACAGTCCACAGAAGCGAAACGACGCATTTCCAGTACTAAAGTTGTTCTACAAGCAAGCACAATCCAGCCAGGAGCTGTAATGAGGCATTTCCAGCACCAAAGTTGTACTACAAGCAAGCACAATCCAGCCAAGAGTCGAAACGAGGCATTTCCAGCAATAAAGTTGTACTACAAGAAACACAATCCAGCCAAGAGTCGAAACGAGGCATTTCCAGCACTAAAGTTGTACTACAAGCAAGCACAATCCAGCCAGGAGCCGAAACGACGCATTTCCAGTACTGTGGCAGGTGGTGGCAGTTGCAGGTGTATTTGCACTGATTTAGTGTGTATTTGGCACGGGCTTAATGTGTCTTTGCGCGGATTTAATGGATTCCTTGTATGTTTGCACGGATCTAGTATTCGTGTGGAAATGGGCAAGTGGGAATGCGTGGGTTTGCACGGTTTTGGTCATTTCAAAATTTCGATTCTGGTTGGGAAAGAACCCAAATGACACCGCCGGAGATTGAGCCCGCGACCCTGCCCAATACGCCCTCCTGAACGGCCGCCCCCAGTTTCGTCGAGTCGCCCATAGCTCAGCGGGTAAGCGAATGGCTTACAAGCCCTTCTGGACAAAGGGCGCGGGCTCAAACCCCGGTGGTGTCATTTAGACCCTTTGACGTTAATAAGGGCTTAATACGGCTTTAATAAGGGCTTAATAAAGCCTTAATAAGACTCTTATAAGCCTTAAATAAAGCTCTAATAAAGCTTTAATATGGCTTTAATAAGGGCTTAATAAGGCCATAATAAGGGCTTAATAAAGCCTTAATAAGCCTCTTATAAGCCTTAAATAAGGCTTTAATATGGCTTTAATAAGGCCTTAATAAGGTTTTAATAAGGGCTTTATAAGGCCTTAATAAGCCTCGTATAAGCCTTGTTAAGCTTTATTAAAGCCATATTGAAGCCTTATTACAGCCTTTATTAAGGGCTTTTCAAGAGCAGCCAGGGCCAGCCAATATCATCCAGCACCAGCAAGAAACAGCCAGTTTCAGCCAGTACCGGTCAGTATCAGCCAGTATCAGCCAATATCAGGATCAGCCATTATCATCCAGCATCAGCAAGTATCAGCCAATATCATCCAGCATCAGCAAGTATCAGCCAGTTTCAGCCGGGATCAGCCAGGATCAGCCAGTATCAGCCAGTTTCAGCCAGTTTCAGCCAGTATCAGTCAGTCAGCCAATATCGCCAGGATCAGCCAGTACCATCCAGCATCAGCAAGTATCAGCCAATATCAGCGAGCATCCGCCAGGATCAGCCAAGCTGTTGGCCAGCCAGTTTCAGCTGGTATCAGCCAGTATCAGCCAGGATCAGCCAGTTTCAGCCCGTATCAGCTAGTTTCAGCCAATATCAGCCAGTCTCAGCCAGAATCAGCCAGTATCATCCAGCATAAGCAAGTATCAGCCAGTTTCAGCCAGCATCAGCCAGTTTCAGCCAGTATCAGCCAATATCATCCAGTATCAGCCAATACCAGCCAGGATCCGCCAGTTTCAGCCAGCATCAGCAAGTATCAGCGCTTCAGCCAGTCTCAGCCAGTACCGGTCAGTATCAGCCAATATCAGCCAACATCAGCCAGGCTGTTGGCCAGTATCAGCTGGCATCAGTCAGTATCAGGATCAGCCATTATCATCCAGCATCAGCAAGTATCAGCCAGTTTCAGCCAGTGTTAGCCAATATCAGCCAGGATCAGCCAATATCATCCAGCATCTGCAAGGCTACCCCCCTTTGGGTGCCTGACACCACAAATAAAGGAGCAAGCTCTGGGGTCCTGATTAGCAGGGCCGGTCGCCGGTGTGTCCGGTCGGAAGGTGCGTGCCTCTAGCTTTGCAATCAGCAATCATCACAGAAAGCTAGCTCTGCATGGGTAAGTGGTTCTGGGTTTGGCAAAAGCAATGATCAGGAAGGTTCCGCAGGCCTCCAGAAAGTAATGATTTCTTTATCAAAGGCCTCTGAAAGAATGCGATTTCTCAAGTTCTGCAAGGCTACCCCCCTTTGGGTGCCGGACACCACAAATAAAGGAGCAAGCTCTGGGGTCCTGATTAGCAGGGCCGGTCGCCGGTGTGTGC